TGGCCCAGGATCGGGCAAGTGTTTTGTTTTGCTGTGCATAAGGTCGCTATGAGTTGGCACCGACTCGATGGCACCTAACAACAACAACAACATCTAATATCTTAAGCTAGCCCATTTGAGCAATCAATATTTACTTTCCTGATGTGGTGCTGTAGGATAAGCACTGAACTGCTAGCCTCAAAGTTGGCAGTTCAAACCCACCAACCTCTCCTTGGAAACCTTATCGTTGTTAAGTGCCAGAGTCAGTTCCAGCTTGTGACAACCCTGTAGAGGGTGTCTGAGAAACAGCTGGTGGATTTGAACTGCTGACCTTGTGGTTTGCAGTCTAGTGCTTATCCTACAGCACCACACTAGGACTCCCAGAAACCCTATCCAGGGTTGCTATGAGTCAGACCCGACTTCGATGGCCCTAAAGAATAAGAAACAACTTTATCAGCGACAAAACCTAAGGTTTGGTGTATCTTTCAAACTACTTGCAAAGAAGTTAGTGGTCCTTATAGTGGCACCTTTTCAGGTAAGGGAGAAGTTGAGGGGCCTTCAGGATCCAGTCTTTTGAAAGGTAAGCATTTTGGGACTGTAAAGGTGTCATGGGAAGATTGGAATCGCGTTGGAAAGGGCAGTTCCCCTCCTAAACATTGAATCAGGCTCCTAAGTTGTACCCAGTAAAACCCATCCACAGTAGCCGTAGTTAGCCATTTATGAGAGTAAGCCAAGAGAATGTTGTAAATGAGTCACTCGAGAACTTGCAGACACCCACGGTCCCCGTCAAGGAGATCTGGGTCAATTTCAGCGCAGATGTGAGCTTGACTCTGTGGTTATAATTTAGTGAGCAGATACCATGCTTACGGCCAGGGGACTGGGCAGCCTGAACAGAGCTCTCCAGTCCAAGTCCCAGATTCTTTCAGTGTCAATGGTACCCCTACTGGGAGCACCTTGGAACATCTACTTAACTCCTTCATGCCTGGGTTCTTCATCTGTAAGACAGGCTCTTGACAAGGCAGAGCCAGGGAGGGGGCTGCTGAGATGGGTGGACTCCGGCCCAGAACCACCCCCCTACACACACACAAGGCCACTGTCTCTCTCTCCAGACTCCCTTCCCTGGGCCTTAGGACCAAGTGCTTCCCATGGCAGAGAGGTCATCTTCCAGGGAGCGGGCAGACTGGGCATCTGTGTTTGCAGATCAGTCTATGACATGAGTCCATGAGTCTGTCCTGGGAGGCGGAGTCATTCTGAATGTCCACCTGTCTCTGTGCAAGTCTGCAGGATTGAGGCGAAGTCCTCCAGGCAAATGTCATCTAAGCTGGAGTTTTTTTTTTTTTAAACACGGTCTTCTTACGTGATATTACAAGATGTAAATGAACAAGTAACATTCTCTACTTTCCACAGGGTCAGAGTGACTCTGAAACCATGAACTCTTGATAATGTTACTGCCTTTCATTCCCGTATTTAAAGCCCTCTGTGCCTGCTGGGAGGCAGCACACAAGCCCACTTGCTGCATCCATGGTGTGTGGTCCCGGGCACCCTCACCTATAGTCATCTTGTCCGTGCTTCATGGGACAGCATTTATGGTCACACTTTTCACACTAGATGTGAGTGCTGCACCTTGGAACCACTAGGAGGGATGAGCTAGGTGGGTGATGCTTGGCCTTCTCCAAGTGTACCGTCTGTACTGGGGGTGGAAAAAGACCCTCCTGGAGGGGAGGTGGGTTGGGTAAGCACAGAACCTTGACCTCACTACAAGTCCTCCTGAACTTGAGGTTGCTCTAGCAGACTGTGGTGACGTTGAGACACAGTGATGCAGAGCCCAGCTGGCTGGGGGGATCTAATCATGCCTGAGCTCGTTCTGATCTTTCACCTTCCCAACTTTTCTTCAGAACTCTCCATCATCCACTGGCAGCTGACTTGCAGGTGTGTGAGCAGGTGACAAGGCCTGACTCGGGTCATACCTTCATGGCCACCAAGTCCTGCCTGTTCTCCCTACTCTAAGGGCTCTCAGGGTAGAAATCGGGACTGTCTTCCACCAGCTGAGAGGTTTTGTTTGGTCCACTTCAGAATTTTCAAATTAGTTGCCAAGATTGAAAAATTAGAGATTTTATGCAAGAGTCCACATTTTTGTTATTATTTAAGATTCAGATGGTATCTGCCCACTGTAAAGTCTTCTTGGCTCCAGGATGCCTCTGGGGGCCTCCTGAAATCCACCTGTTTTATTTCTCTACTTTGCTGCCTGGCATTTCTACAGCAGGGCTTAAATGTATCTGAAGGAGTCAAAAGGGATTCACTAATTGGGTTTACTTTTCAAGTTTCAGGATACTTCTGAGGATTAAAAAACCCAAAACAAAACATTATGTGTGTCTACGGTTTCCCCCAAACACCCTTCCCTGGTTCCAATCTCCACTATAATCCTCTACTGCTGCTTTCAATACAAAAAACCCTGCGGGACTGTCATGTATTGGTTACCAGTAAGTCAACTTGTTTGAAAGGCTGTGATAAGAACACATGCACTTGCCTTGCTAGGCTCTGTTTTTGAGCAATCTCTTTTGTATAGCTGTTAGAAAAATCATTTACCATGTCAACAACTTCATTCACTCTGTTGAGATGATAGCTCATTGTAGCACATCTTTCTTCAGCAATAAAGATGCTCCTGTGATCTCGTGTTGCCAGCCAGCAAGGTGGCAGCTCTCTGTAGAAACTGTTTCTGGGCTTTTACCAGAAAGAACAGAAAAGAAAACCATGAGAAATGTCAAAAAATACCATCGTTTGGTTTAAAACAAGAAACAAACAGAAAACAAACAAAATAACGCAGAGGAAACTTTAATATTTCTGTAGACCTGCTCCTTAATATCATTTTAGTTCATTTATTCCTACCCCCGTCTCCCCTAAGTAAATAAAGAAAACTACTTTCAGGAGCTACTGGGAATTTTATTTCCTACCTGGTCCACTTACCTAATTTACGACACCTTTTCTGGGGGCAGGAAAGTCTGCAGCCAGATTACACGGCAGTTACCAGAGGGCAGCCCGCCCCCCCCACCCAATACCCCTAGGGACGCTTCCTTTACAGACTAAAGCGGAGGGGAGGGTCCAGGGTAGGCACAGCTGGAGAGCCCAGCTGTTCCGCGCAGACTCCGTTACCAGGACTCGCCGGTCGGGCAGCCCCCAATGCTTCAGCCCCCCAGTTTCAGGGGGCGGTTCTCATGAGCACTGAGGACAGTCGGCATCCTTATACCGGGCTGAGTGGGGTACCCCTCGGGGTGCCAGCAGCGCCCCATGTCTGGCGTCCTCCGGAGCCAACCCCGGCGAGGGTTGCCCCTCTGTGCACATCTGCCTACACCCCTGCCGACCCAACCTAACACCCGGCGCGTGGGGTGTCCACCACCCCGCGATTGCATCTTGCTGTATGGCTGCTACACCGGTCCGCGGGGAAGACTGACACGGCTTCCCGGAGGTGCCCAGCACTCCCACCGCCCTTACTGCGTGCCATTTTTTTTGGGGGGAGGGGGTCCCCGCTGCACGCGGTCCGGCAGATTCCGCGGCGGGGTCCTGGAGATGAGGGGCGGTCAGGCGAGCGGGGCGCCCGCCCACCGGGGTCTCCCCGCTGCGGAATTTCCCAGTCCCACCGCACGCCCGGTCCAGGAGCCGGTTTCATGCCTCGCATGCCCGCGGGCAGCAATGGCGGCAGGCCCGGGATGGCGTTCCTCTTCGCCGCTCCCCAGCCTGCTCGTCCTTCCCTTGGCGCCTGGCGCCGGCTTGCGGAGCTCTCGGAGCGGCGGCAGCGGCAGCGGCAGAGGAGTTGGCGACCTAACCTCCCCTCGTCGTTCCCC